GGCCCAGCCCGGGGGCAGCCCGCCCCGCTGAGTTAGCCGCGCCGTGAGCAGGCGCCCTGCCATGGCCGCGCCGCCCCGCCGAGCCGCTTAGGTGCTCGAAATGGTCCCTCGGGGTTTTTCACACCGAGTCTGATAGACACACAGGGCGCGCATCAGCCCCGGGGCCGTTCCTCCTCCCCGTCAGCCCCAACATGCCCTCCAAAGAGCCCTGGTCGGGGCACAGAGCGAAGAGGTCTGCGGTGCACAACTCGAAGCGGGAGAGCCGTCAGCAAGACTTACTGATAGCAGCCTTGGGGATGAAACTGGGCTCTCAGAAGTCATCTGTGACAATCTGGCAACCTCTTAAACTCTTTGCTTATTCGCAGTTGACATCACTCGTCAGAAGAGCAACTCTGAAAGAAAATGAACATATCCCAAAATATGAGAAGATTCATAACTTCAAGGTAAGAAATTACGCTACTTCTCTTTAAGGCACCGGGGATATCTATAGTTTTTATTTTTAAATGGGTCCGATGTTGCAAGGTAATAATATATATCCAGGCTATGACATTCTGCGAGCTTAAATGCCACGATTAATTCTCATTGCCGGTTACATCAACTGGACATCTTTAGAACGTATCGGCAGAAGAAGGAGAATTGTGGTGTTGACTGCTTGTGTGCATGTATTTGTTTCAATGATATTTGCCATTTGTAGATTCGCTCTTTTATTTGGAATTGTTTTGTACTGAGAGAGATGCTAAAGGTGAGAAAAACTGGCAAAGTTTTCTTTCAATTCAAATGAATGTAGTTCAGTTTTACTTACGATGATATGATGCTGAAAAATCTTTTAGATCTGTGGTTAGAGGATTAAACTGATCTTATCTGAGTTTGTCGCTGGTAAATAGCTTTGGAGGTAAGAAGCATGTTCTACTGCATCTGGATTGAGCAGATGGTCTGCATTTCCCTTAGTTTCTGGCTTTTCTCCTGTGTTAATGAACTGAGTGTGCTGAAAGCAGCCTGGCTTATACATTGGGGATACTGGAGCTGCTGGCATTGACAGCTAATGGGTGTTTTAATAAAATTTACTTAATGTTCTGTGTAGCTTCTAAGTACTCGTTTAATTATTTTAAATAAACGATGCTCTTTGGTAAGAGACACACATGTCAAGACAACATATGCATGTTTTGTGTCTGTATCTGTTATAAGTATCCAGTAACTATTTAGTAATTTAACCTTTTGGTGGTCAAACACTGCATAATAGGCAGTCTTTATTTGTAAGACTGAGTAAATTGATGTTATACAGAATTTCTGTAGATGCCAGTACAAACTTCATATCTAGTACCTGAAGCCCAGCTTTTATCTTCAACATGTGTTTTTCTCTCCCATGCAGCTTTTGCTTTTATTTATTTTAGAAGAAGGAAAAATCATTAATACAATACAGGCATCTGATGATATAAGTATCTGTTAATTGTCTCTTATTTTCAGGTTTTATCTCCATCACACACATGTGCATGTGCACATACATATACTTACCTATCATCCACCTGATTTTATTTAAAATGCCTTCTGGCTTCTGAGTTCAGACAATTGCTAAACTTGGAAACTTTATATGATCAGGATATTTTGTTTGATTTGAGTTCTTCAGTAAAGCATGAATTTGAAAACCGTGTAGAAAATGTTACATAAAAAAGTGTTTAATATGAACACTTGGCATAAAAAATAATCCTGCTGGCTGTCAGTTAAATGTAGAGCATTTTTTCACAGGCTCCTGAGATATCCTAAAGATCTGAAATGCCTTGCAACTTTCATTTGTTCCTTAAGAGTTTGAAGATAATTCTTGCCGATGCCAGCAGATAGCGATTTTCTATGTACTGCAGCGTATGTAGGATAATACATGTTTAATTTTGCACACATCTGTATTCCTTAGTTGCTTTCCTTTAGCAGCTTGAAAAACATCTGTTTTGAAAATAATCCGATAACCTGATTTTCACGTTTGAGTTTATTTGTTTTTCTTCCAGAAACTGTTTCTGGAAAGTTTGGAAGCTGTGAGTTTTCCAGTCTTTTTTCAAAAACAACTGTGGGAATGATCCAAGGTCACAGCTACAGCACAAACTTTCCACACAGATTGTTTTCTTTGTACAGTTTTACTGTAGTTCCTATATACATACTTGCCAGAAAAATATACCTTGAGAGGTAACTTTTTTCTCAAGTCAGTGAAATGGAGTCACCTTACACAGATTATTTTTGCCATAAAAAAGGAGAAGGGAACAAACCCTTTGCCCCTTAAAGGGTGTGCAGCAACCAACCTACCCGCAGAAGGAATGTTGCTGATGGTGGTGGGCTCTAAATGTGGCCACTATCCCTTTTTTTAAAAAAAAAAATAACCATAAGCCCTTCATAATTACTGCATTATAGATCTGAAATGAACGGTCATCATTAGCTCATGTGTTTCTCTCCTTTATCATTCCTTACATCTCTCAAATTTTTCTTCTTGCATGTATAGATGTCATCGTTTAAAATGTCTGCAGAAGTCTCCTAGGTTGCCTGCCAAGCAGCAAATGTGCCACCCATGTGGGAAGGAACGAAATGTCAGGCCCAGAGTCTTGAAGCTAGACTTCTGAAAGAAAACAAGAAAAAACAACCCAGAAATGAAATAAATTTTTGTAGTTCAGCTAACCAACAGTGACTGCTGTCCCCAGAGGCTCCACTGGCAAAAAAGAGGACACACGCTGCTTTGTACCTCCGCGGCTAATCTTCTCTTCCTTACAGGCAGGAGGCAACAGATAGGGACCTCTAACCCTTTCCCGGCTGCTTCTTTGATCAGTCATATCGCTAGTCAAAGAATTGAAGGTGTCTCAGAAATCCTTTGTACTGGAAATGCTGTAACATCCTAGCAGAGGGAGAAGAAGTGGGGAGTCATTAATGCGCAGCAACTAGCACTGTTTTGGAGAAGGGAAGAAGACGGTAGCAGCCGCTCCGGAGGCGGGCTGGGGTGAGCAGATGCTCGAGAGGCTTGGCCACAGGTTTGGAGCCCTTAGTTCTCCCTCCGCCCCTGCACCACCTGTCCCTGTGGGGTGGGTAGGTGGGGATGCAGGTGGGGTTTGGACCCTCAGACCCTGGTGCCTCCAGCAAAGCTCAGGTAGAGGAACACCGTGGCAGAGAAGCAGTGTAGTGATGGTCCTCACAGGAGTGCAGTTGCCTAGGGAAGGGGTGAACATGAAAGCTGCTTTTAAATCATCAAGAGGTCTCTTGAATAAATCTGTTGTCTATGTTAATCTATGTTTTGCTTCAAGGGTTGTTTGAAAGAAGAATGTAAAGACAACCCTGCTAGGAGTGCTGACGCAGCTGAGTTTTTTGAAAGGTTTTAGTCTCATTTAAATCTGCTGGAATGTGTGTTGTCTCCTGCCTGAAGAGAGCAGGCTGGCCAGCTGCGTTGACAGCGAGCTCTGAGGGCAGAGCTGGCCAGTAATGATCTCCCCCAGCTCTGTAATATTCTCCTGTCTGGGGAGGTCTGGTCTCTCCTGAGCACATCACAGATGCAAATAAGAGTGGCTGAATTCTCTTAAATTAATCTCTGTAAGAAAGGCATGATGATTTATAAATGTCAGAACTGACTGAGTTTTTAATGCCTATTCCTCAGCATGAGTGTTAGGTATTAAAAATATTTTTTTTAAAGCTTATTTTGGCTTTTTCTAATTTATAAAAAGTTTTCAATTAATACTTCTGCATTCTCTATAAATCTAACATGAAATATTCATTTTCTATTCAAATATATCAGCTAAAAGAGGTCTACGTTGTTTGACACAGCATTTTATTTAGCTCTAACTAATAATGGGATTTGAAGATGAGGGTAGGACTGTGAGTGGGACTTGATGGGGTCTGTCTATTTGCATATTTGATTTCTTTTGCTTTCCCTCCATATACTCTACTTCTCTGAAATCCAGCGCACTGAATGAGATATCTTGTAAAATGAATCATCAGACCAAATCAGGGCAGTCACTTCACCATCAAAATTTCAGCCCCACATGCTTTTGCAGAAAGGCTTTTCCTCTCTTTCAATTTCTTACCCATTATGGGGAAAAAATCTCCCCAGGCTCTTTGGTACACATGTATCTATCTATATGACCGTGTGTTTGTGATGAATATCAAGTTCATTCTTTCACCCAGTATGGATGAACAATAGCATCTTCTATTTGGAAGCTCTGAGAGGTATATGGTGCTGACAAGGAGCATAGCTGAAGCAAATGGTGTTATTTTCTTACAAAAAGAAGCTTTATTGTAGGGGAAAGTTCTGTAACATTTCATAGAAGCAGACAGAGTAGATTTATACTGAATTGTTCCCATAAATTTATTCTACAGCAATAAGAATGCTTTTTTCTGTCCCTTACAAATCTCTTATTTGCTTATCTTGTCCCTAAAATGCAGCAACTGTGATAGCTTGTAAATTAAAATACAGTTTCTTACCTAGCTAATATCTTATCCATTCAATAATTTTAAGGGGAAGAAGCAGCTGGGCACCTCCTGGGCAGGCAGGTGAAGGAGGACCTTCAGGCAACAGCAGAAACCTCATATTTGAGGCAAAAAGGGGCCTGTGGTGAGGTGCCCTGTGGATTGAAACATTCGGGTTTCGTTATTGAGGGGCGGACCGAGGGGACCTCTGAGTTGGAGTGTGTGAGGTGGGCTTTATGCCAAAGGATTTACACAGCAGGGGAGTCCGAGTTGGGTTTAAGGTTACCCCATCTCTTCCTACTCTGGTGAGGCAGTTTTTGTTAGGGTATTAAACACACAGGATTCCCCTTTCTCAGTCATCTAGACTTTCCATCTTTGCATCTCCTCGTCATCTCCCCACTTGTTGTGGTTTAACCCCAGCTGGCAACTGAGCACCACACAGCTGGTCGCTCACTGCCCCCCACAGCCCCGGTGGAATGGGGGAGAGAATTGGAAAACTAAAAATGAGGAAACTCGTGGGTTGAGATAAAGACAGTTTAGTAGGTAAAGCAAAAGCCATGCATGCAAGCAGAGCAAAACAAGGAATTCATTCACCACTTCCCATCGGCAGGCAGCTGTTCAGCTGTCTCTGGGAAAGCAGGGCTCCATCACTGGTGACGGTTACTTGGGAAGACAAACGTCGTAACTCTGAACATCCTCCTTTCTTCTTCCCCCAGCTTTATATGCCGAAGCATGACATGGGATATCCGTGTGGGATATCCCTTCAGTCAGTTGGGGTCAGCTATCCCAGCTGTGTCCCCTCCTAATTCCTTGTGCACCCCCAGGCTCCTCGCTAGTGGGGTGGTGTGAGGAGCAGAAAAGGCCTTGACTCTCATTGAGCACTGCTCAGCAATAACGAAAACATGCCTGAATTACCAACACTGTTTTCAGCACAAATCCAAAACATAGCCCTATACTAGCTACTATGAAGAAAATTAACTCTATCCCAGCCACAACTAGCACATCCCTACATCCC